ATGGTAAAATTATGTTTTTAAACGTAGTTGGTTGCATAAAAAAGAAAATATGTTGAAAGTGTTTCACATACGAAAAGTATAAATAGTTAGGGGTTAAAATAAAAACATTAAAATTAATTAGTGACTAAAATGCATAAAATATAAAGTTAGATTTACAAATAGAATACCAAAACCAAATAGTGCCCAAAATGTATAAATATAAAGTTAATAGTAAAAATAAAATTATGAAAAGTAAAGACTGACTAAATTGAATAAATGAAAAATATGAGAGGATACACTTAATTATTTATTTATATAAAAACGTTGAAAGAATTTTTTTAAATACTATTATTCTTAGTTTAATGTTATTATTGTATTCTAAAATGATAATAATAATAATAATATTTTATTATTATTATATTAAAAACTATAATATTATTAGTGGTAACATTATAGATTTAAAGCCATAGAATATATATAGATAGTAAGCTCCATATCCGTATGTTGAAAAGGCAAAAGGAATAAATTTGCATTTTGAATAGTACAAATTTTATTTCTAAAAAATGGAAACTGCTGTCCAAAAGCCGCTTAATTCTAATTCATTGTGTTACGAATATAAGGTATTATTTATTGAAAAGATTCTTAATCATTTAATAATAAATCTTCATATATTCCTGTAGACATCATGTTCGAACTTGAGACGTCTATAAATAATAACATTCTTACTTATTGAGGTTGTTTTGTTCGTGCTTATTATCTTACATCCTTACTCTAGCACTCAGATCCAGCAGAGACGAAATTGTTATAGTCACATACTTTGTTCAATACAAATATTAATATAATAATGGCTGAACAAGAAAGAAAGTGCTACCAGACTCGTACCATCAACTATCCCTGTCAAAATGTTGAATGATATAATTCTCACCTCCTATCTGGATTTCCACCACGAGCGGGTGCTACTGGCTCGTATGTGTTTCCAGCTCGACCAGGAGGTGTTGCTGATCCATAAGGTCCGTTATTCCGGGATTCTGCTTGTCCATGTAGCACAGCAGGACTTCTATCTGCTGTATCATATGTTGCACCACTGGACGGATCCTCTCTGTGCATCATAGACATGGGTTCTTTGACTGTCATAACTAGGTCCTCTCTGTGCGTCATAAACTGGCACCCTTTGTGATTCATAACCAGTCTCTCTTGACAAATCATGGGCGGGTTTTCCAGACATCTCGTTGCCGGACCTCATAGGTGCAGATCCAGACACGGACTGATTTCCAACATAAGCAGAGGTGGCACCTACATTTGCGCCAATAGCAGCAGGTGGTAGAGCACCATGTCTCTATAATGCAGAATGAGAAGAATGTCATTTATCTACTAGATAGAATTAGCAGAAGAAACGCAATCCTCAATACTAGACTGCTGTTTGTGCAGTTACTGTTCCGTACTTTCAAAATTGTTAATTAATCCAAGTTTATATAAAAAAAAGGTATTAATTTTACCCTAAAAAACATTTCGATATAATGTAATTTGTACTAGCAGTTGCAAACATACAACTCATCCATATTTCAGCACAGACAGATTTATGCCATTATGGAACCTGGTGAATAACGTAACCATCTTCATATGTATTTTGTCCCACGGGATGTCCAGAAGCATCATTCTCATTGTTTCCTGTGGCCCCGCCATATTGACCAGCTGCATTTGATTCCACATATGAGCCATCTAAAAGGGGTGGGGGAATAAAAATCTCAAAAAGAAAAAGATCAGAAGAGAGGATACCAATTCTTTTGTCAACATTAGAAGCATTCATCATCCCGGCGCTAAGCTTCTCTACTTCCCTTGTCAACGTCATATAATTTTTCTTCATCACCTGACGTGATTCAAGGTCATCGTTGTAAAGTTACTTCTCATAGTCAAATAAAGCGCTGCATGATCAAGAATAGGTATTGCGACTCATGGAACCAAAACAATTCCAGAAAGAAAGATCTGAAAGGACTTTAGCTGAATGACCAGGCATGCTCAGGGAGGACAAAGAGGAAAGAGAGATCTTTTAGAAAGAAAAAAAAAGTTTTAGTATTAATTTCCTGTTCAATACCAGCCGTTCTACTTTAATCTTTCTCAACTTTGCTCCAAAAACATCCATGGATAAGAGCACAACAAAAACCTGCAACTGTAATGCTGATATTCCTGTCTGAGGTTCTCAAGTTCTGCCAGCAGAGCTGATATCTGTTGCCCATCAACATGAGCTCTCTGAATCTCTTGATTTAATTGATGCACTTTGGAGAAAAGTTCTTCCCTGGCTAAAACCAAATTCTCAGCTTCAGAACGTGCCTGCTGCAACCCTGCAGTGGCTCAGATGCTTTCAATTCAGCTTCCATCTTAGCTATTTTTTCCGTAAGGCTCTTCATTTGTTGTTCTCTTTCAGATGTTACGGCTCCTATCTGTGCATGCAAAATCTGCAACTCATGCTGTGCAGCAGCAAGTTCCTGTCTCAATGTCCAATGGGTAGCCGCCATTCTCTGGTTTTCTGTACCAAGTTTCTGCATCTCCACATGCTGTGCATAAAGCTTTTGTTCCATGATTTCTGGAGGTGGCGACATATCAAAATGGGGAATTCCAAGACCAAATGGGTCAGAACGTACCATGCCAGGGCCAGGGAGAGGATGCCTCAGATGAGGGGGTGGAATTCGACTTTTACTGCCCATTTTCGTGGCTACTGTATGATCCGAGGAAAGAAATATGACATAAGCTCTAAGAGTCCTTCCATGTCCGCACTTTGATTTGGCTTCATAAAGAAACTTGAAAACTATTCGTGCATCATGTGACATGAATAGCAATTGGATATTGATGCAATGCTTTGGGACTTTTGTCCATACATGCAACATAACACAGGCACAAAGCGATAAATACAACAGAACAATTGAGCCTAAAAACATTAAGGAATATGTACAAGACTTCAATAAACAATTAAAATTAGACTTATCATCAAAGTGATTCCTCCTTTGCAAGATCCTATTTAATAGCATTTCGCTCATGCAAATTTGAAGTTCAAAGAGAACATCAAAGCTCATAACATACAGTAAAAGGATCCTTATCTACAGCTAATGTGGTTAGCCAGGCCAACAGCTATAGGAATTACTTGTTTGTTTCCATGTCAATATCACTGTAGCTCATCGGTCTAAGCAGTCAACCTCTTGTCCAATTCAAAATAAGGCCTTCAATCTATATCCAGGCATGTTCCAATACTTATATTCCACAAGCTAAACTCTAGAAGATGGGGTAGGTTCCTCTGGAACAAATTGAAGTCATATACCAGCCATAGAAAGTCTGGGAATTGCACCCAGCAAAAATGGTAGTAATAATTCTGAAGCCTGAAAGAAATATTCAGGTGTAATTAACCCAAACTTGAATTTTACATTAAAGATTCCAGTAACAGTTTTACAATTTTTCCCGTTTCCCCTTTTCATTATTTTTTAATGGAGAAGAACGAGTTCGGAACACACGAATAGTCAGGTGACTATTTTGTATTTTTTAATAGTCGGGGACTCAACAAAGAAACACCCTATAATTAATAGACCATTTTGTAACTTTTAATAGCTGATGGACTCAATAAAGCTGTTTCATATAGATATTTCACCCTACATTTAAATATATTTAAGGGTAAACTACATGTTTAGTACTCCAAATATCACTTTATTTTGTTTTAGTCATCCAATTATTTTTTTTCAAAATCATACCTAATGTTACGTTTTGATTTCATTTTGGTCACCCACAGTTAAAAAATTAACAGAACTATTGACATGACATTTTTTCCAATGATGACATGGCATCACCTTATTATGACACGCCAGCATTATTGTTGATTTTTTAACAACGGGTGACCAAAATGAAACCAAAACTAAATGTTAGATATAATTTAAAAAAAATAATTGAATGATCAAAACGAAACAAAAGTGATAATTGGATTACTAAACATATAGTTTACCCTATATTTAAATACTAATTAAATTTTAAAATAATTTAGATGTTGTGTTAATGAAAATAATTTTTAAAGGTAATTAACGTGTTATTTGTAGTAATATCTTTATCTCATGATGGTAGGGGCTGAACTAAAGACGGTTGGGACTTGGGAGTGCATCTTTTAAAAAAATTAAAATTTTATATAATTTAAGTATTTTTAATATTTTATATTCTTTAAAAAATTATAATTTCTCATCTTTAAATTTTTAATATTACTTTTTTAAGATTCATATTTCTGATGTTAAAATTATGTGCTTAGAATAGGCAAAATCTTATTCTGTGACCTAATTAACCAAAAGTGGGCCACCCATTGGCTATACTCTCTTAAACCGGTTTTGACATTGACCAAATCATGTTTGTACCAAAAGCAATGGCCATTGTTGTTTAGTGGTGGAGAAGAAGAATTAAGATTCTTTGTGAAGCAACTTAATTTTTACTCAGTTGCATAATAAAGCAAAAGCAAAAGATCACTAACTATATTTTATACTCAGTAATCCACTTCATCTAACTGCCTAAAACAGGAAGGGACAATTGATATCACTCAAATTATTTTCTTCAACCATTCTCAGTAAGGTATTAATAATTAATTACTATAAATTATAATGTCGAAAATATCCATTAATCCCTAACCTAGGTAGATTATGGTATTTTTAATATTATAATAATCAAGGATGGATTGAAAGGGCAGATGAGTACAATCATCCCTGAAAATTTAAAATTACCATACATTTTAGATTTTACATATATATTTTCTATTAAAAATATGTTTTCGTTCCATAGAAGTTTGTTATTTCATTATTTTTTAAAATTTTAAAATTTCGCTCAGTTGATATAAAATACTGATCCGTCCCTAATTATAATGATGTCAACTGAGTTAATACTCTATCGGCAAAGCAAAAGGGTTAAAAATGGAGGAAAAAATATGAAGGATCATTCATTTCATCCAAACACAAATGAATAGACAATTCACTGCATTTTGCATTTCAAATGAAGAAAAGAAAATAACAAACCCCCTTACCGAATACAATAATAAAACTGCAGAGTTACAAGAAATTAAGCAAAATGTTGGCATGAATGTTGACAAGGCAGGGGGAATATTGGGGGGGGGGGGAAAGAAGAGGAGGGAATCCTCTGATTCTTAAAGAATCAAACTCTATCTAAGAATAATGAAAATGGAAAAAAAAACAAACAAACGAAAGATAGCTGATAGTTGTAGTCCTTTACTGAATAAGGTGGAGCCTCAATCATTTGCTACGAGTCTATTTCTCAGAGCTCGATCGACCGAGGTGTTCAATTTGACTCGTCACCTCGGCCATGGAAGGACGCTTGTCAGGATATTGAGCGGTGCAATCGATGGCAAGCTGTAAGAGTTGGACCATATCTTCCTCGACATTGGGGTCTCTCAGAAGTTCAAGGTCGAACACTTCGGCTGTCCACTCCTCTCGAACTACAGATTGGACCCATCTCGGGAGGTCTACTCCTTCCTCATTCAGTACAGCATGTGTGGGTGCCTTACCGGTAAGTAGTTCTAGAAGCAATATGCCAAAGCTATAGACATCAGCTTTTTGGGATACTTTACGAGCATCTGTAACCTCTGGCGCACGGTAGCCATCGACACGGGTGGGAGCCAACGAGGGACTAGCAAGTTGAGCAAGACCAAAATCAGATACACGAGCTTCATAGGATGTAGCGAGTAGGATGTTTGAGGATTTAATGTTTCCATGGGAGATTTCGGAGCCCTTGGAATGCAGGTATGCAATGCCTTCAGCAGCTCCAAGGGCAATACCCCACCGAGTGTCCCAATTCAATGGAGTCCTACCAGCTCCTCTGTTACCTGATTTTCCATATATAACACCAACATTAACAACAGAAGGAAACATGTATATTAAAAAACACAAATGTAAAATCTTATACCAAGCTTTCAATATCACATTTCTCAATATTAGGTAAACTTATAGCATATTAAAAGTATACACAAAATCAAGAAAGAAGAAGAGATCATACTGACCATGCAAAAGTGCAGACAAGCTTCCCACGGGCATGTAATCATACACAAGAAACTTCTCATCCCCACTAAAGTAGCAGGCCCTCAATGGGACCAAGTTGCCGTGATCCATGGCTCCAACTACAGCCATTTTCTCCTCGATTTCCTTCTCCGGCACCATCACATCCTTAAGCCTCTTCACTGCAACAACCATCCCCATCTGCAATGTCGCCTTATACGTTGTCCCGAACGTTCCCTTCCCCAAAACCTCTGCAGAAGCCCTCAATAAATCATCCAGATCGAACACCTTTTCCGCCTTCCCGAAAAACATCAAACTCTTACTACCATTACTCTTAGAATCCTTTTTGACTACCCCAGATAACCCATTACTTCTATTATTATTACTTACTGCTCCAGGTAACCCATTGCTTCTGTTATTATTACCTTCCTCTATTGCCTTTTCTCTAGGAATTTCAACCTCAGTCTGTTTTGTAGGGGCAATGTCCCTCGTCTCCATTTTCTTACCACCTTTTCTTCTACATAAACATATCAATAGAATCAAAATCAACACAAACACAATCACTGATCCAATAACAATGCCGGCAATAGCTCCACCGGAAAATTTACTCCCACTACTTTCTGCCCCATTACAAGAAACCAATGGCTTCCCACATAAAGCATTCCCTTGAAAAGCAGTCTTTGGATTTCCTGACAACCCCTTTGGGATTGATCCATTCAACTGATTAAAAGAAACATTGAATTGCTTAAGTGTAGGCAGATTAATATCGGGTATTGACCCAGATAACTGATTGTTCTCCAAATACAAAGTACCCAACCGAGTCAAATTGTTAACACTCGCAGGGATCGATCCAGTGAAATTGTTGTCTGCAAGATTAAGCCTAACCAGGTTCTGCAAAGTGAACAAAAACTGAGGAATCTCACCGGAAAACGCATTACCTTGCAAGTAGAGGTTTCGAAGGGATGTAAGCTTGGTGAAATCAGATGGGATTGGTCCAGAAAGAGCATTGAAACGAAGAGAAAGTGTTTGGAGCCGAGTTAAGTTCCCAATAGCAATGGGAAGCTTACCCGATAGTCCCATTCCGGGCATTCTTAACTCGACGACTCTGTTTCCGCTGCAGTTTACACCGGTCCAAGTACATGGGCTGCTCGACAGATTCCATAGACGTGAGCGTCCACCCACAGCTGCTCGAAGAGCCACTAAGGCTGCCCTGTCGGAAGCTAGATCTGAGTTCACGCCGACCAAAAATGATGTTGTCCATAACAACGAGAAGAAACACATTGTGCTGGAAATCATTTTCACGGCTTTGCTTTGGCTTCCACAAAGTTGGGTTTCAGCAGCTAAACGATTGGAAGATGGATTTCATGGGAAACTTTTTTTTTCTTTTTTTTCAGCCGATTATGGAAACTTATGGAAATTGATGAATTTTAGGAATTTAGCTTGGTTTCTGGGAGAAAAAAAAATATGGGTAAAAAAGATAGAGAATCTTAAGATTGTTGATGAACATTGATTATTAAAATCGCGCTTAGGGGAAGAAAGCACTGGATTTGAGTTGGCAACATGGCTCTTTCGTTCTATTATATTTATATCTATTTTGTGAGGAAATAATTAAGTGATTTGTCGTGTAAATTAAGGTATTGCATTTCCTAATTGCGTTTTAATGGCAATTGGCAAATCTCCAACCAACATTTGGGGGTTAAGTTTTAAAATAACAAGGTTTTCAACGTTAATATTTGAGTGTTCAAGATTGTAAAAATTAATTATTTACAAGTAAAATAATTATTATTTTTCGTTCTATTAATACATGTAACGTCTATAGTATTTCTATTGTACGTTATTTATTTTGTTGGTATTATAATTGTGTGATTATGATATATTATCAACGAATAGGAAAAAAAGAAAGAAAGATACGTGAATAGCAACGAGTTAAGTTATATTAGTGGTTAAAAGAATGATTGTTATTTTTATATATCTCAGGTTTGAGCACAAACGATTGTAGGATATTTGAGCATTAATAGTCAAATAATTGAGTTTTTATAACATATACTGTCACAATAAAACAAATGCATAAATAGATTAAAGAGGTATTAAAAGAGGCTATATTTTTTTGAAAGTTTTAAATTTTCATATATTTTAAGTATTTTATTTATGTGTTTTATCGATTTTCTAATTTTGTATTCTTTAAAATTTTATAATTTCATACTCTCTAACTCTATAATACAATTTTTAAAAAATTTGTATTATTAATATAAAATTATATGTTTATATCTGATAATAGAATTAAGAAAAGTTTTCACCGTTAAATTGATTTCTTTAATTTTAAATAAAAATTAATGTGATTTTTTATGAAAATCCTTCTTATTTTTTAGTGAATATGTTTGAAATCTTATTTTTCAACCTGCTGTAAACCAAATATTCGAATATATTTAAGGACTATTATTCTACCTACTAATAATAGAAAAAATATTTTATAACCAAATTGTAATGATGTCGTTATTTTTGTCTTTTATTTATAAAATATAACTAAAAAGGCACATAATAAGATTATTGTATATGAAATAATTATTAATAGATAGATTATTTTATTTTGACTATTTTAAATAAAGTAATAAATTTGATTCCTTATTAGCTTTATTAAAAAAATGTTGTAGGAGTATATTATTTGGGGGTAAAGATGTAATATAAAAAGATTAGGATCCCAAAATATTTTGCGATTACGATATAAAGGAAGGTTCGAATAGCAAATTGATTTTTAAAAAATCAGTAGATTTTGGCGTTTTGCCTGTCGGTCAGGAGCGTTGTGTAAGCTGTATTCAAGTATAATAATTAATACACATGAGCTAGTTTTTATACATAATATAATATATTTTGTTCAGTTTTTTGAACTCTCAAGTGGTTCCGATAATTTATAGATTTGTTAAATTTCTTCATAATTTGTAAAAGTATATATCATTTTATTAACATTTTTAATATCAAGAATATATATTTAAATTTTTAAGGTCTATAATAGTTTATATAAAATCATTTCAAAAGTCCGACTCCACTCTATTTTATATATTTTGATAGACAAAGTTCAAAGTGTTCTTGTTCCATGGAGTTTGATCTCCGATAATGTTACGATAGCTTATGAAGTTCTTCATTCATTGAATAGTGAATGATTCGATAGAAATACATCTTTACTCTTAAACTGGACATGAGCAATAAATATAATTGAGTTGAATGACATTTTATTTAATCATTATGCTCAAAAGGAGGTGATTTCTTCACCGGGAAACATTTGATACTCCCGCCGAAGAATAAGTTTTCTAGGTGTTTTCATGCATGGCGAAAATAGATTCCTCAAGCAATTTCCTGCTCCATTTACCGTATTCAATGGTGGATGTAGTTTATTTTTAAGGTGGACACACATTATCTTTAAATCATAATTTTCTTCGATTAATTATTTATTTTATTGATTGTGCTCACTTAGTACAAAAAATTTGTATTATCAATATATGTGTGTTAACTGGAAGATATTTATGGGTTCGTTACTAACCTTTAGGCTGTGTAAAGAACAGCTGTAGTTATGATAATATGGGCGACGCTCCACCTCCATTTCTTGCACCAATAAGCTTCCTTTAAAACGCATCAGAGTATCATCTCAATTGCACCTACTCCGATGGCTATTTTCGATCTCTCTTTCTCTCTTCTTTTCAACCTCCTCTTCAAGAGTTGTTATATATGTATGAAGAAAGAAGGAAGAAGCTGGTTCTAGTTGTTTGGTGTGGTCCTTTAAATGCCAATAAAAAAAATGATTTTTTGGAAAATGAATAGTTTAGCGACTGTAAATGGGAGAAAAAGACGGTCAACTATCTCACGTGGTAAAAATAATGCTAGATCAGCCGATTAACATGCCAAATCAGCTTTCCTTCACCCCAACTAATGGCTGTTAACATCGATTGAGTATTTTTTTACAAATCGATAACGTTTATGAAAATTTTGTTACAAATCGATAATGTTAATGACTTTTTTGTAATTTTTAAAAGTTTATCAGATAAAACGAAATATTTCTCAAAATTTAGCTACCATTCATGTATTTTACCCTAAAAAGATTAAAAATTTAGTAAAAGTTGAGCGAACGTGGATACGTATGTCTGTGTATTGGCTTAAAACCTGGTCTACTGTGAAAGTTTGAAAACCCTGACGCCTTCTTATCTGATCTGCTCTCTTCAGATTAATCAAATATAGAACCCTTCTTCATTCAATTGGAATCAGAGGGCACCAATTTTTCGTTTTCTTCTGAGAAAACCCATCCCTCTAAACCTTCAAAACAACTTATACTTTCTTTCCTTTTTGTTGTTGTATGCCTGCCTTTCTTCTGTTACAGAAATGGGGGTTCCAGTGATCAAATTTCCTATCTTTTTGGTAATTAGAGTACTGGGAATCGTAGTAACAGCTATTCTTTTCGCATGGACTCTCCATTACAGGGGAGGATTGGCTCTCATCTCTGATAACAAAGATCTCATCTTTAATGTAATCTCTTCCCTCTTTAGCCTATTATACATATAGTAGAGAAGCAACGTATTTCATTTTAATTGGTTTCACAGCTACTGGGTTGTCTCCATTTATGCTCCCCTCCCCCCTTGTTACATCTGGTGATTAATTGATCTTCTTGCCATTTTGCTTTATAATTTGTGATAATATTCATAATCTGGAAATTAATGTTTCATTGTTTAACTTCAAGACATGTTGTCATTCTTCTCAGTGTTTAATTGTATAATGCAGTTCACTAGATAGTAACAAAATATGATGATCAACATTAGTTTTTAGGTAAAGTTTTGTTATTGCTTTTGGTACATTTTCCCCCATTTGGAAGAAAATAGAAAGCAAAAAAACATATTTTCTGATAAACGGGCATGTGTTTTAGCAATTAAATGTCAAATATGTGATTTCTATAGAGAATCACATCTACACTGAACAGTTATGTTGGAGTTTATATTATATCTTAGCATTGATTCCTTTTTAATCAATTAAAACTATGCTTGGCTTACAATAAACTAAAAGGTATTACTAAGTAATACAACAATACCATAACAGACCCTTAAACGGCATCTTTCTCTGTTTCAACCTATGAAGAGTATTTTCTTTATCATTTCAGAATAGTCAGCTTTGTTGTGTGCTTATTTCAGGTCCATCCTGTTTTGATGGTCATTGGACTACTGCTCTTAAATGGCGAAGGTGAATGCCAATTTTTTATTCGATAATCGTTGCTTCAAGTTTTAGTTATATGTATCCAACCATCTCCTTTAAAGTTCTATATTTGTCCTTGTGAGATAATTAATTTATTCAGATAAAATTATTATCAATTTGATAATATGAAAGAATACTTGTTGTTATGTAAAATGCCGATTCATGTCTAGAAATCGGCAGTTTCTGAGAACTTATCCTTTTTTTGTCTCTGATAGGCTTATTGAGGTTTTCTTAGGACATGAGAAGTGAATTGCCTTTAAATTATTAGTAGAGCTACTCTAATATTTCATCTCTGAGATCTTCTGCGGTTCCTTTAATTTTTAATAACAGGATTTTGCTTGAGAGAATTACGGAAATTGCCACAATTTCCTAGAAGGATATTTATATGATAGTATGTATATGATAAGTACAAGTTTGTCTTCCCCCCTGTGTTTCTCTTTACCTTACCAGAAGCTGTTGTTCATATTAGATAGATATTTTCGGATACTATGCTTGTCTATTCTCTGATTTCAGAAAAGTATAGATTTACTTCTTGTTCCGTGCAGGGAAGAAAGTAAATTAAGTTCCATTCAGTTTTCTCCCTTGGGTTTGCAGGGTTTTGTCTTCCCTACCCTTTTCTTTTCATTAAATTTTCATCATTTTTCAAAATTCCATTTCTTGAAGGAAACCATCCTTTAGCGATCTTTAGAAGGATTGTTTTTATAACACATTGTGACATGGTCACCTATAATCAAGCAGTTGCATCGATTTTTTTTTGGTGGGAGAACACAAGGGACTCGAATAATGTGAACTTTTTTATGGAATCCTGAAAAAGGTCACTATCTTTACCATCCTGCTTTGTTTAACTCTTGTTTGGTATTTGATTGATTCAGCAATGCTCGCATACAAGACTGTTCCCGGGACGAAAAGCTTCAAAAAGTTGGTTCATCTTACAATTCAGTGCCTTGCTTTTATTTTGAGTACTATCGGTGTATGGGCTGCTCTGAAGTTCCACAACGATAGGGGCATTGAAAACTTTTACAGTCTACACTCATGGTTGGGCCTAGCTTGCCTTTTCTTATTCGGCATCCAGGTTCTGTTCTGTTCTGTTCTGTTCTGTTCCTTTCCAGTGCGTTTTGGCTCCAGTCTGTGAAGTTATGGATCTTAATCATGTCTTGTGTTTCGCTTTTATTTTCTTCTGCACCAGTGGGCTGCCGGATTCTCAACGTTTTGGTACCCAGGTGGCTCAAGAAACAGCAGAGCCACATTGTTGCCATGGCACGTGTTCTTAGGGATGTATACATATGC